GACCGGAAGGGATTCCTCCGGTCGATGAAGGTACAACAACCTCATCGACCGGAAGGAATCCTTTCCGGTCGATGAGACTTTTTTTTATCCTTCCGGTCATGGGAACAGGAGCGACGACTCCCAAACCCCCTTAAGCATGAGGGGCGGTTTGGGGCGCCAACTCCCCAAAAATAAATTAAAAAAATAAAAAAAACATTTGATGGCCGACTCCCAAAGTCGGCCATCTTTTGGAAGAACGACTCCCAGCCGACGACCCCTCGACCAAAACGGGAGTCGTCGACTAATTTTTGGGAGTCGTTTTTCCAACCCCCATAATATATATCTGCCATGTTGGACAAATACTTCCTCAGTAGCAACAGTGAAGCAGATACAATACAATACATCTGATACTCCAAATCATTTGTATTGTGTATCATATCTAAAATCAGATATGATACAATTGTATTGTATCAAAAAACCACTACACATTTTTTGGCCAATTTGGACTGTTTTCAACAAAAGATTTGGAAGATAAAAAAGATATAGTATTTTATTTTATTTGTCCTGGGCTGTATTTCTGACCAGATACAAGAATTTTGATACATTTGTATAGCATCTGTTGTTGATACAATACAAATAAAATGCATTTGGAAAAAATTTGTATTGGTTTCACTGTTTTCAGTAGGGAGGCCAAGGGGGGGGGGGGTGCTTTGGCAGAGTTTATTTCCTAAAAAAAATAAAAATTCAATAAACAATTAATAGTCCTGAATTTCACTCCACTTACCAGGATGATCTAGATATTTCCCATGGATTATTGGATTTCCATGGAGGCAACTTACTACAATTTGCTCACAATTATTGTTTTGGCTAGAAGCAATTGTTTGATAAAGGGGGTTCCCTACTGAAAGAATTCAGGGGGTATCAAATATAAGAAATCCACCATTGGAAATCAGTCAATTTTCCAAAAATTAAATTTTGCATCAATGAGCCCCCAAAGGGGTTAAGCGCAGAACCAAAATGTTTAAAAATGATTAATTTCTCCAAAAAGTCAATCATAAATGGCAGATTTGGTTGTATGTGATACCCATTAGCAACGGTGGGCCGCTACACTAACCGTAGCGGTTAGTGTAGCGCAACGCAGCGGAATCGCTGTTAGCGATTAGCGTAGCGTAGCGGAATTCCGCCACGACACCGCTAACGCTACGCGTGTGGGCCGCAAAAAAGGGCCCACTACGCTTCGCTACAGCCGTTTTTAGCGGTTTTTGGCCGCTTTTTCCGCTAAAAGCGCTGTAGCGCAGCGTAGCGTAGCGAAAAACCGCTAAAAAACCGCTAACACTACGGTTTTTGGTGAAAAAAAAGCGCCGCTACGCTACGCTTTTTGGGCCAAAAGCGTAGCGTAGCGGCCCACCGCTGCCATTAGTAGTATGTTAATTTATGAAATTATGGATATAGTTTTCAAAAAACTTCCCTTTGTGTCAATCCAAAAAAAAAATGAAAAAATAGGGGGCTGGGAAAATGAATCCCAGATTTTGGGAGAACTACCCCCAAGAGTTTGGAGATATCAAGAGGACTGGATCTTGACCATCAAAAGCCAATCCTGGTTTTTGGCCTCCCAATTAAACCAGGAAAGATGGAATTCTTGGAAAGAAGTAATCCTACTTTCCAAGTTTATGGACTAATTTCCCTCACACCATGCAGGTACATAATCAATCTTCTTGGCAAGAAAATGTTCCTCTGACTGGGCAGGTTAAAAAATTGCTCAGCAGGAGGAATTTCCTCTGTTTGAGCAGGTATATGAGCTGTCTGGCCATAGGAAAATCATTTTTTTATCAGAAGGTTACAAACCTGCTTGGCCAGAGGAAATTTTCCTTGCCCAATAGGTTATGAACCTGCTCCACAAGAGGAAAGTCGTGTTTTCAGGCAGGTTATGGACTAGAGATGACCCCATCGCATCAGGATCTCCACTTGATTTTTCAGCGGAATCAGACATCCACATCCACTGGTGGGTATCCCTCAGCCTTAGCGGGTATCCACAGATATCTGCCCCTTAAATGGTTGACAAGGTACGTGTAACTTGCTGGCTGGAAGGGTTTCCTCCCAGCCAACAAGGTACATGTACCTCGCCGGCTGGAAGGAAAACCTTCCGGTTGACAAGGTACATGTATGCCTTGCTGACTGGAAGGGTTTCCTTCCAGTTGACAAGTTTGCGCCTTGTTGGCCTTGAGAATCTACTCAAGGCAAAGAGGTATTCCTCTTGGACTTGTTTACAAGGTCTTGGTCTCGGGTATCCCTTTGGCCTTGTGTACAAGGTCTTGGCCTCAGGTATCCCTGGAGATACCCAGATATCTGACAGGATTTCAAGGAGAAGCGGACAATGACATCCGCATACTCTGGCGGTTATCCGCCAGCAGATACTGGATAGAAGGTATCCAAAAGGGATAACCCAAGGCCATCTCTATTATGGACCTGCTCCACAAATTTAGGAAATCCCTCCTTCCAATTAGGTTCATAGCCTTCCTGTAAAGAGAAAATCACTCTTACAAAGTTGGTAAATAACGTTTCTGGAAATAGAAAAGCCTTATTTACAAGTAGTTTATGGACCTGGCAAATCCCATCCATCCCTGGCAAATTAGTAGACCAAATCCCAGTTTGAGAGCCAGTTGTCTGTTTTTCTACCAACTTTTGGGATCCATTCTCCCAGAATTTACAGGGAGTTGCTTTTTCAACCCCCCATGTATTTTTCTTTTATAAAATATTTTCAGAGAACCTAATGAAGTCTCTGAGAATTTTTCCATCTATTATTTCTTTTTGTATTTGAGCACAAGAGCTCCCAAAATATATTTAATTCTCTTCCAGTTTCTCATTGACCTGTCAAAATCTGCTGGTCCCCCAGTTTTGATTTAGAGCCTTGAAAGCTAGATTACCGTGCAAAAATCTAGACTTTATGGGTCTTAATCAAACCCTGGAAGGTCCCCAGATCCAGCAGGAAGTTGTCTAATCTCTTGAAAAGCAAGTTTTAGGTCATTGGAATGAGTATCCAATGCAAGTTGTTCATTTTTTGGAACATTTCTTTAATGTACCCACTTGACCATTTGATCTATGATTACTGCAAGTTTTATATTTGTGATTAATCAGTTGAATTTAACTCAAGTACAGCAGGTGAACTGATTTTTTTGATGCAGGTTTCAGTGCAGGCTACAGAATGAATTTCTTCTGTAGTTGCAAACAAAAGTCACAGCTTGTGTCAGGCCTATGTGCCAACTTGTGATCTGAACAAACCCAAACCAACCCAAATGCAGGTTGTGATATTGCAAAAACATGACTCAACCAAGTTGAAATGGGGTGGGGCAGGTAGGCAATTTTCAGACCTGAACTGTAGAAGTGCATGTCAAATTGATATGTTTTACCTGCGCACACCACATAAAATCTATTTATACATCAATCATTTGATTAATTATACCTATAAACACAAAAAACTATGAAGAAAAACATGTGGGAGTCTTTATAGTCTCACAAAAAAAAGAGTTGGTGCCAATTAATATAATTTTGCATGCTCCTTCAGGTCATCTAGTAGTACTAGCCTTTGAGCACGTAAGCATTGCTGATACATTAACTCTTTTTAAAAAAAAATCTGTGCATAGAAGGATTTTGTTGAACTAATTGTTCACCGGCGCTTAGTAATATTTGAGATGTACTATAATGGAGCGGGATACAAATTTGACTGAACGAAACATTGCTTAGTAAGGTGTGACTTGGTTCAATGGTAAAGAAGACTTGAGTGCGCTGGAATTCGAGAGGATGCTTTGAAGCAACCGAGTAGGTAATTTGAAAGCGATATAGGAATTGAGAGGAATTCACATGGAAAGAATTGATTAAAAAAAGCTCTGAGGGCTCTGTTAGCTTAGATCACGTTGATGAGTTATCTGATTAGGTATCTCCGGTCCTATTGGGATTGGTTTATGAGGGCGTCGGGTGTTGTTGAATGGTTGAAGTAAGCAAATGCCCGATTCCAAAGCTCAGTGGTTTTCGATGGTTCTATGAATGCTCTCTCATGAAGCACGTCGGCCATTCTTAAACATTTCTGGTTTGCTTCCTCATCCTTGCTGCCGTAGCATGTTGATCTCCATATGGGTGAAGCAAAGACGATCCGACATAAATCCCGACTGTGTTAGAAATTCAATAGATCGAATAAAGAGTAAGCAACCCTGTCAGTAGATATGCCAAAAGGCGTACACTCGGTAAGTGAGGGGAAGACTTACGCAATGAGTGAAAAACTTCTTGAAGGAGCGACGTGATACTGGCTATTGCTATTGTCCGTGTAGAATGCCCACCGTTTATCCCGAATCAATGTTAAACTACTCGACGTATCTTATTGTGATGGTGATTTCAGATAGTTCGTAACCGTAGTTTTAAGATCAACATCACAGCATAAGCATCAAAAAAAGTCCTAAGGAGATTGGCTAACTGGTATGAAGGTGAATCGTTCCAACACATGGGTCACCAGTCCCGCCGTTCAAATACGCTTCGCAGGCCCCCAGATTGAAGGTTACCCAAAGGATAAAAAAGAGTAGAGTCATCCGAGACTTTTCAAAGGCGAGTTTAGTTTGAGAGGAAATGAATAAGTGTCGCACAGCCGTTTCGAATAGGTGGAAAAAAAGTGTGTGCAGCATTTGGTACCGAGTTTTTAGGTCTGATAGAATTTAAATGTGAATGGAAGAATTTTGTAAGAAAAACTAGTTGATTGAGCGGAAAATTCCTGGAAAGGTCTTATGGTCTGATCGCACCTTAAGTGCTGGCAAAGAGATAATCGGAGAAGAGTTGAAGAGGGAGGAAGAATGATTCTTGACTACATAGAACGGGCACTGGGTTGGGCCTAAACCCACAGGAGAGAGCTATTTTCAATGCCAGTGATCCTCCCCAAATCTGATGTGAATCAGCTCGGCCTGGCAGATACATACAACCCAATCACTGGCATCGCCTGGTGTTCTCCTGAGAGATTTCAACCTTGAATATCTGAAAGAATCGTTCCGAAGTCTAGGCAAACTCACCTTTGTTGTGTTGGTAGATAAGCTCACCTAAGGTTGCTTTCAATTCCAAATAGAGAGATAAGCAGCTGTCGCAAGCCCAGTGCGAGAGGTAGCTTGATCCGGTCTTGAGTTGCCTGTTGTTTGAGTTGAAAGAATGGCACATTTCCCGATTTCTGCGTCCGATACGAGCGAGGGTCACCTCTTTGGAGGTAATCAGGCAATCTTATTTTGTCTTCAGACAAAAGCACGTATGGCTCATAAGATTGGGAAATATAAGTCGCTGACAAAGAGAGATTAGAGGGTATTAGACTACACAAAATTCGAGCGCTGCGGGACGTTGGAGCCCATGCTTCCACGGCAGTGAGTTGGAGAGTCAAGTGAGTCTTGGAGGTATGCAAATAAATAATCTTAGGCCGAAGGCCTGGTTGAAAGTTTCTGCCACCTACAGCGGAGCTTCCCGCTCAATGACCCATGCCCTGGAAACAGGAAAGCGATGTATTACATAAATGGAAGCTTGAGGTTGATCAATCTCTGGAAATTGAGATAAAGAACCTACATATGTAGAAGCAGTTGACTCTCAACCTTCTCTGGAGGTTACCAATCTTTACCAATGGCTGTCGGCACAGCCACGAAATTCCAAGCGGTTGCGCTCCGGTGAGTGCTGCAGTACAGTTTTGGCTCCGGCGAGGTTAGATCGACGCTGTGATAGGTGACGGCGGCGGAAGCCCTCCTGGAAAAGATTCCGAATTCAAATGAAGAGATTTTGTACTATGCAGATGTTATACAAACAATTTGGGTTACAGATTGTTTTCTAGATTGTCGACGTGAACAACGTGGAAATTGAGGATTCCACAGAGCATCCATCCGCCAGCCGACTCCAGCCTCCGGAGCAGTGGACTCAGGAGTGGCCGGACTGTCCATGCCATGCATAGGAGGACGATATATGAGGTACAGAGCGTCTAGGGCGTTAGGGGCAATAAGAGGCTAGCCACCACTCGCGCTGGCATCTCCTACTCATGGATTGTGTGACATATTCGACGTGTTCTGGATCATCTTTGAACTCCAAGTATTCCGAGCTAGCGATGGCGACCTTTCTTCTGAAGAACCTTCTAGGCTGCTTACAAGACGGATTCTACGTACACAAACATGAGGTACATGCCTACAGCTTACAAGTGTATCGCCTAGGATAAATTCCAAAGCTAGTAACATGGCAGCTGGCTATAATGATATCATTGCAGTACGGATTGCCAGCCATGAAAGAGACAGTCTGCGAGACGCCATGAAAGCGGCAATTTGGCAAACAATGCTGCAATAAATGACCTGTCGTGTTGCCAAATTGTCATTCGCTCATGCTGATGCCACCCACCCGGCTTCACGCGGATGGCTTTCCAGTTCTGCATCTGTGGCAACCCTTACAATAAAGCTCGACCGATCACTCCACTTCTGGATTTCAGCGAATTCTGTCGCAAGCTGGAAGCAAGAAGCACCGGTGACTCCAGTCAGGGCTTCAAGGCTGATAAACAAGCAGAAAGTTTGAACGAAGTCACATACCCTGCTAGCGTATCCTAGATTACCAACTCTTCAATCTTGAGCTCCTGAAAGGGCAAGATACTAGGAACTCCCAGTAGCCTACGAGCAAAACTTTGACCAAAGGGTGCTTAGACACCAGAAGAAGTACAAATACACTTGGCAACGATTTCGAGGCTGCTTGGGAAAATTAGGGAGCTAGATTGGTCAATCAGACGCATAAATAAATATACATATTTCCATGAAGCCTGCAGTGGCCTCTTTTTTCAGCGCATCTCCGTATTTTGCATGTCCTAATTACTGAAACATAAGGAAGTCAACGGATCAAATGTGCGGTCCATTTTTCTGACTTAGGAGACGCTGTGAGGGGAAACACAGAAAGCTTACGAAGCTGCTTCAGAAAGAAGGCCCTATCAGTCACATTGGTATGACTACAACTATGTGCGTTGCATGGAGTGTGCCCTATTGCACTCAAATCTGAGTTTAGGATGCCCTTGTTGATTATCGTTTATTTATCGCTCGGATCTTACAAAGCAGGATTGAGCTGCGGACCCGGTGTTTTCTTTCGATCACAGAGATGCATGCATGGCAATGCAAGTCCATTGTAAATAAGTCAGATTGTCGCTCTTCGGCTCTCCACCTATGGCCAAAGCCAAAGTCCAAGTTAACATTACAGCCAAGACACCCGGTCAAAGAATTATGAAGATAACCTGGCTGTGGACAAGGTCGTCACCAAATGAGCGTCGACACTTGAACTACTGATCGGCTATTTCGGGTCCAGTTTGGACTTGAAATTGAAAGGATAAATTTGTTGAAATCTTATCTGCTGGGGGACATCACCCACAGTCTGGAACCACGTACAACTGCACATGTAGAGATCCTAGTACCACGTGCGCAACTACCTTTCCTTAGAAATCCTGGAATACATGGACTTGCATTACTTGTTGCCGAGACCGTTCAGATAAAGCTGGAACCGGGTTTTTGCAGAGGGTGAGGGTATTCGGCGCCAGATGAATATGCATAGTGCGCAATGTTAAATCAAATCTGCACTTATATAAAAAAAAAAAAAAAAAAAAAAAAAAGAGGGTATCCGGTGTCCAAAGGACCAAAATCACCTGGGTGGCACTCGTAACCCAGGTGGATCCAAGTTTTTTGTCTTCAAAGCTAGAGCCTGTAGGAATCCTAAAGCCTTCCCCCTATTTTCGATGCTCACAACAGGAAATCAGCTAGCCACCAGAATGTAGTGCAGAAAAAACAAATCCCAGCACAGACAGGAACCAGCAAGAGTATCTAGACCTAGACAGAACTTGAAGACTGTGCCAAAGATAGCCTGTTGCTATCTTGCAATTCCAGCCACAAGTGCTGCCTCAAGGCAAGTTTTTTCAAAAGGAAGACAAATGGTCACTTAGCAGCACTCATCACTCAAGTGTCTTTTTTAATCTGAAGGATTATGTATAGGATCAACCCCTTGATGGTCTACTCGAGTCTTAGAGAAACTCCTTCGGTTGCCACCCTTTTCATCACTTATCTTATCTAGACTCCCACAGTCAACCACCCATAATTGACTGGTGCACACTTTGAAAGGGGTTGTATCGGTTACAACCCCCCGCAATAAGGTCGCCCGGAGGCGACCAATATAAGATCGGTCTGATTGACTGATTTCCTGGCCAGTATGAAATCGGTCAAGAGACCAATGTTATATCGGGTTGCCTTGGGGCGACATTATTGCGAGGGGTTGTAACCGATACAACCCCTTTTGCCGTGGTGCAGCCCTCATAGAAATTCAAAACTTGCAAAAACTGCCAAAAAATGAACAAATAGAAGCTCCAATTTTTCTCCTGGGTATAAACCATGGAAAATTTGAGGGTAGTACATGTCAGGTGACATGTAGCTAACTCCTGCCTGTATTCCAGTGTTACTTCAAAGTCAAAGGGTTGGGACTCCCTGATGACCACAAAGGGAACATTTTTATTTTAGCAGACAAGCATTAGAGTAACAATGGAGTTGTAACATATGTCACTTCATGTCACCTGACACCTACTGCCCTCAGATATTTCCTGGTGATATTTTTTTGTACAGTTGCACAAATCAATAACCCGTAACAGGACCCAGGCAACCCCCTATATAGGTGCCTAACCAAACTGCAGGGATTTCTGGCCAAAAATTCAAAATGATACACACCAAAAATGTATGAATGGCCTTTTTATCCTCATAGGGTACTAACCTAGAATGTATGAATGACATAAAATTGTCAAAACTTTGCCAAACTTTCCTTCTATTCTTGGGTTTTTTGCTTTTTCCTGTGTGAATTTGGTGGATACAACTTGCCTCAAAAAGGTGAAAAAAGCTAATTTTTGGCAGCAAAAAAAAGGCAAACTGCAAGTTTGAGGTTTCTGGACAATCTGGATGATTGTAATTTATAGGGCTCTGCCCCCCCCCCCCCCCTCAGCAGGAGGGTAGGCACAAAATGTGTATGAATGGCTTCACTACAAAACGTGTTGGATCACATTTTGAAAATGTGTGATAACATCGCATGTGAAATGCGATGTTATTGCGCATTTTCAAAATGTGATCCAACACGTTTTGTAGTGCTTTGAGAAATGCAGGAATTTTGGCAAAATCTAAGATTTTTGGTTAGGCACCTCTATAGGGGATTGCCTGGGTCCTCCTGCAAAAAAATGAAGTTTGAGCTGACCCATCACCTGCAGTATTATTATTCATCATGCAAGTAAGTACATTGCATCAAACAATGCTACACAGCCCTTAGAACAAGAAAATATGTAGCCGACCACAAAATACTGCCTCTAAGGGGTCAAAATACTTCTCTGTGGCTTCCTGTAAGCTTGAACTACATATTTTCCTGTTATGTGTTCATTGAAGCATGTTTTGTGCACGTTTTTTCAAGAAGGAGTATTACAGGTTATTGATGTGCACAACTGTACTTCCCAATCATCTGGGGGTCTGAGTGGTCCCTAGACCCAGTCACAACCACTCAACTAGAACCTTCTGGATGGTTCATGTCAAACCACTTTTGAAGAATTCACAGGAATGTCACATATTATGTAATTCCCAGCTTAAATTTGGCATTGTGTCTCATTCCTTCCCCCATTCCTAGCTTGGTAGAGCTCTTCCCTCTGCAGTACTATTGCTAGGGATGTCCTTCCTTCTTATCTTTCTTCCTTCCCTTCTTCATTTGGTGCCTACAACACTTCATTCCCCCTCCAGTGCTAGTAATCAATAATGTAATGTGGTTCTATAATCTCTCCTAGGCTGTCAGCGCCGGTCTCTTATGTGACCTGGCGTTGATGGGGTTTATGGGGTCGCACTATAACTGCAGAGGCAGTCAGTGGAAGAGAACCACACCTCGACGCTAGTAAGCGGAGGGGTTAGCTCCCTGGGTTAGAGGGGACACACGCGGTATGAGCTTCGCGGTGCCGAGCTTAGAGTACGTATAACTCTCTTCTAGGCTACAGTAGTGACTTTACTGTAGTCTAGGGATGGAGGAAGATGATAGGGGTAGGAAGGAGGGATGTAATAAATTGTAATAGATTATAAAAAACCCCACTCACTTAATTTAAGTAAGGACAACGGGTTTGTATGGCAAATAATCTCTGGGGGGAAGAATCCTAGAGGGAAAGCCCTCCCCCTTAAGTATTGCAAGGCAGGGTTCAAACTGCCTGTTGGACCGGACAGGTCCACAGATGATCATTTTATGTATTTAAATCACAAATGATCAGAACATGTATTTAAATTAAGATTACATCAAAAGTGGAGGGAATGACATCATTTCTCTCTATGGGAAATCCATACAGAGAGGAATAAATTAATCAATTCCCAAAGTGTAGTAATCTCTCTAATTACAGAATATACTTAGAGAGAAAGAAGAATAAACTTTATGTACATAAGTTAGCATCTCTGTAATAAAGGAATATTAATACAGAGGAAAATACTAAGTTATTCCACGGAATTACTTAGGAGAAAAAAATATAAAAAAGGAATGAATAAAAATACAATAGAGTGTTGAGGGGGATTGAACACAGGGTGTTGGTAAGAATTGTCTGAAGACAGTTCTTAACCACTACACTAGCCTGTTTGTACTTATATGTTCACATTGTAGACACATGGGCTATAGCCTCAGTGTCTGACATAGGCTTTTGAGCCAAGTAATAGTCCTTCCAGAACAATCAGCAAAGAACCAAAGCAGTTTCTAATCACATTCCACCTGGGGGATGCCATTTGGGTATCAGCCTCAGGAATCTAGAGGGTATAAAAAATGGTTACAGCAGCTTCAAGGTATTTCAGGCTTACTTCTTGAAATTAAAAGCTTCTATACATCTATGATATCAACAGCACTGAAACCAATAGAATACATGTGTAAGGACTCCGTTGAGTCCTTCACTGTCTGTTGGAAAGGTGCTAGAAAAATTGCTGAATAGCGTCCACGGAGAAGATTCTAGTACCAATGTGTCTTTCATTTCAGTCTAGACAGGAGAGAAAGATCTCTCAGTTAGTATCTACAAATGATGGGAAGTAAGAAAAGGAAATGAGAAGATAAGGAAGGAAGGCAGGGTACTTACCTAGACAGGAGAGAAAGATCTCTGCTGTCTAGGTGAAGGGGAAGTGCAGGAATAAATACAAGGCAGAACTGAGCTTATGTAATCTAGTGACATGTTTGTGTAAGTCATGAGGAGCAGGCCTTACAACATGTATCTGTATTGGTCTGTATCTGTATCTTTTTTATCCCAATTATACATTGTATCTGTATTGTATTTACAAATATATTGTATCTGGTCACCAATACAGCTCAATAAAAAAATACAATACTGTGTTTTTTGTATTGCCCAGTTGAGTTGTTGAATAAAATCCAAATTGGCCAAAAATGTGTAGTAGTTTTGTTGATAAAATTCCTCTGTGTTGTATCTGATTTTATATACAATACCCAATACCATTTTTTTTAGTATCAGAGGAAAAGATACACTACACTGTATTGCCCAATAGATGTATTGTATTGTATTTCTTTCACTTTTGGTATCAATGGCATAGCCTGAGTTGCAAGCTGTCCCGGGTTTCTCAACATTTCATTCATTTTCAATATGAAGGCCAGTAGACACTACCACTCTGCCAATGGCAATGAAGTCAGGTGGTAATCTAGCCCAAAAGCCAGCACATAATTGACAATTGGCAGGGTGATAGTCACTCAGCTTGAAAGCCAGAATGTATTGGTCATTGATCTTAAAGCTACATATCTCAATAGCCCATATGTGCTTGCCATTTTTCTTTGTGTTTGTCCCAGCTCAATGGGGCCAAATTTCAAACAACAGCTTGGACACTGTCAAAATATTCAAGTAACACAAGTAATTGAATCAATCAGGGGAGCCCATCAACTTTAAATGCACATAAAGAGTGTTACCTCACTAGATTGAGATGACTTTCAAAGATACCATGTATCAAAGCAACATGATTTCCAAATCTAGTGATCATTGATTAATTCAACACCATTTCAAAATGAGGTCAATAGATAAAAGTTGACAAAACATCAACTCTAGCCAGCAAACTCAATGCAGAGTGATGTAAATCCCACAAGGAGAAAAAATTGGTCATTGTTATCCAAGTATAGCCTCCAGATATCATATTGTATGTAACTTCCTAGTTTTGATTTGGGTACTGTAGGTTTCAGACTTTCAGTTGCACCAGCCTAGAGCTGACCAGAGTTGTGAGTCTTGGTGGCAAGGGTAGGTACAGGAATGATTAAAGAAACATTGTCCAAGTTGGTCATACCACATCAATGGCTGAGAGAAGTGATGCTTCAAGTGTTTTAAATGCCAAATACTAAAAAAAGCTGTCTTGTAAGTGGTAGAGCTGGAGACAAGGGTGGGCTGCCATGCTAAACTACACTTTTGGCCCAAAAGTGTGAGCGTAGTGGCACTTGTTTTGCACAGAAATCTGGTAGTGTTAGCACAATAGGATGGTTCACATTTGAAATATTTCGGCAAAATCTTCATGTGAAACCAGCAGAGCGCTGTGAGTTTGCATGCATAAAGTTGGCCTGCACGTCTGCCAATTTTTAAAGTTTTTTGAAACCAGCAAGCAGGAATTTTATCCAAAATCAACAAGATTTTATTCAAATGTGAACCGTCCTATTATTAGCGCATTTTCACTACGCTGCACTGCACTACAAGCCGCTAAGTTGCCAAAAGAAAACTGCTAACCAGTGTGGCAGGCCCTTTTTTGCAGCATGTGTGCATAGTGTTAGCAAAGACATGGCAGAATTCCACTACACTAAGCTATTCTTCAGTGCAATTCCACTATGCTAAGCTGCACTAATGCTACAGTCAGTGTAACTGGCCCATTGTTGCTGAAGAGACTGGACTTGGAGCAGCGGGAAATGGTTCCCCAAGACAACCAGGGTGAGTGAGTGAATTGGTGGAAGGATGAGAAAGACTTCTACAACTTACCCTCCTGATCAGGTACCCCAGACATGAAATGAGACTGTCAGGTAGAAAAATAGACTACAGTCTATCACCCAAACAGCTTTTGGTGTATTGAAGAAAAGAGAGGAGCAAGACACCTCAACCACAAGTTCCAGTCCCTCACATTCTCAACCACTGAACTAAACATATGTGTGGGATCTGGATACGCCTTGAAGAGGGTACCAAGCTCCACCCAATGGTAACTCGTTTAGTTCTTCACCTTTGGAAATATTTTAGATAATTTCATTTAGATTGGGGCGAAATCCAAAATATATATATAGACGAAAATACAACGACATGTGGCTGTCTGCTTTTCATATTTAAGGATCCGTGCGATCGGTCTGAATGAAAACAGGCGTTGAAAACTGTAAACTCCCGTCACAAAATTTGAGAGTCCAATCGGTGGTCCAGAAAATGAAGATATCATATTTCTTCCCCCCGTTTAAGCGTTTTCAAACGATGGTATTTGGTCGAGGATCTTCGATTCTTCAAGGTTGGGTTTAGGGATTGCAAAGCCTTTGTTGAGACGACCGGCCAATTTATTCGGATCCAGTAAGGCGAGATTCCGATGGAAATGCAATCTGATGTGATAGAGGAAATCCGTGTATGGCCCAAGTGGGCGAGGGATGCCTTTGACGTGTGCAAAATTTCCGATTTTGGTCTTCGGGGTTGGGGTGCGGTTGATGAGAGATACGGTTGTGGGTGCGGCAGGGTCGTTAGATGCGGTTGATGATGAGTCGATACTCTCGGCGGCTTTGCGAAGTAAGTCTCGCCGTAACCGTTTGGCTTGAGCGGCTTCGATCAAGGCTTCTTCCTTGGTTGGGATCTGAGGGGGTTGGCAGTATTGATAAGCTTGAACGTACTGTTCACTCAAGACTTTCTTCATATTCTTTTTGGTCATCTCAGGTAGCAGACGCTGGAATTCTTCGATGGCTTGTTTCGCTTGGGCTTCGGACTTGCAAGGAACGTTTCGCCAAACGGCCGCAGGGATTTTCGCTTTGATACTGCTAGGAGAAGATGGGTTGGAATAGGCAGGCTTTTGTGAAAGCTCGAGTTGCGCAAGCTCTCTTGATATTGTCCGTATTACTTTGTCACGTTTCAAGTCACGAGCGTTGTCGACGAGTTCTATTATTGCCAAAGGCGCATGATCGTTCGCTCGATATCCTACGCGGTGAATCCTGGTATATCCACCACATCGAGTCTCATATCGCTTTGCCAAATTGTGAAAAAGGTGTTTTCGTACTTGAACCCAATTCTGTTTCAAGTAATACTGCTCAGTCATAAATTCTAGCTCAAGCACTTGAAGCTGTGAGTGATGACGTACCATAAGGTAAGACTCAGCTTTCCGCTGATAAAAAATGTTCTCGGTGCCATACTTGGACCAGGTAATGACTCGTTCGGCCAATCTTGATATCGCTTTAGCTTTGGGGTATGTGGTCTTAATTTGCTCATGTTCGATCAGGGCTGAGACCAAGTTTCTGAACATGGCCCTCCTATGGGACATCGAACGGTTAAGTTTGGCGAGACGCATGTTGGAGTTTTGTCTGTTGATAATCTGTTAATTATCGAGATAGCCTAGGTGGTGAGGTGAAGCTGGTTCCTTGATGTCTTCGTTTCCGTCAGCCTGGTGTTTCGGCTGTGGACTTGGTCGTCTGACTGACGAAAGGTGCCTCCTCCCCCGAAGGGGGCTTCACTATCCGTATGCACCCAAGCTCCACTATGCATACACTGGCCACTCGCCTGCCCAAGAGTCAAGACCCGAGGGGCTACATACTTTCATTTTGTCCTGGGAGGCTTCACCCCTCTTTGGATTTAAATAATAAATTCTTGCCTACTTCTCGCATTTTCCCTACCTTCGACAATCGCTGATAGCTGACTTGAACAGATGTCAAAACTTGATGCACAGTACCCTGTGATCACTCCATGAGCACAAATGTGGCACAAGCCCAAGTCTGGCTTGGCCGAACCCAAGCTCTGGGCTCACCAGAACCACCAACCACAAAACCCGACCCGACCACCACACCCGACACCAACCAGCACCACTCATTGGTTTTGGCCTGGTTGGCACTCTCGCTTGGGCTCGGCCAAGCTAGGCTTTGGCCCGACCCACCCCAGCTTTGGGAGGTGCCAAGCCAGGCTTGAGTATAGGCCAAGTTGGGTTTAGAGGGTGCCACGCGGGGTTTGGGATCGGCCAAGCCCGCTTGGCCTCTTTTTCGTCCAACTTGTGCCAGTGCCCAGACTGGCTTGCAACACCATACATATGTAGACGAAGAGGGGGAATTTTGTGGATTGATTACCAAGAAATCCGGCTCAACTCCCTCCGGCAAAAAGTGGAATACCTAAGGGATTGGGGTGCCCCCAACCGCACCTCGAGGCAGCCTCCGGCCGGAGTGCGCGTACGGGTCACGCCCTTCTTGGGCGGTGGTCGAGAGGTTGTATGAAGTCCCTCTCATTCATCTCTTCATACACATCACTGAGATCACCGGTGTATAGGTTCTGGCCGAGAAGAGCTGTCGCTGTGCAAGTGGCTCACCCGACCGCATTCACCGGTGTGTGACCTTGTGTGACTTGAGGCTTAGCAGGGCTTCTCTGTGTGTATACAACATTTGTGACTTCAACCCATACACACATATATTGAGCCAAAGGATGAAAGCGAGCTCCATCAGATCAACATAAAAATATAGGTTGCACGTTCTGCTTCAAGTCGATTCGCCCACGACCTTACCTGTTCTTGCCATCTTAGCCACAGTCACTCACAATGTCCATGATGAACCCGTTCCAAAAAATATTCATCACTTTTGCACTCGCAGGTCTTATCATTGGCCTTCTCTCGGGCCAGGCTGCTGCTAGAGAAGTCCAATGTGATTACCACTTTGCTCCTCTGGATGGTGTTAATACTGGCAAGGGCTGTAAGTCGCAATAGCCCACCCACTCAGATTTTTTTCCTGATATTGCTAATTATTGATAAACTGTTCCAATTACTCCAGCCTGCATTTCTTCGGCGAATACTGCTCAAGACAACTACTGCTCTCTTGACTACTGCGGTGTTCGTGCCACCCCCACCACCTACACCCACTGTGAGCTTCAGCCCTCATCGTCGAAGGGTAAAGATCACAATCATGAGAGACTGATGGCGCTGCTTTGAATCCTTTCGTGGGCTCGTGTTGACCTAATGAACTGATGTCAGGGAATAATGTTCAATACATCCAATGCGAAGGCATACCCAAAGTTTTTGTGCAGCAATACTTCCGTTACACCACATACGTCTGTAAGTATTCGAGACTATTGCTTTACATAGCCAAAGATTTCTTGCCGGTACCTCCTAACCATTGAAACGTGTCGCAGCCGCGCAGGACAAGTTCAATGGGAAATTCTACAAATGCTACTATCAGCCCCCTCAAAACACATATTACATCAGTGAGTGCCACCTGACTCAAAGTTAACCCAGAGTTTACAAACTGACATGTGTGTTCCAAACAACTAGGCTGTACTAAATGCCCGTAGGAATAAGTCGTCGTTAGTTGCCTACTCAAGGGGTTGACGGTCCAACGAATTCTCGATGCTGCCTTGCGTAGGTATCATGACATTACTTATTCATCGTACATCAAGTTTGCTATTGCCGGCACTCCCCTCACGGAGTTCGATTGGCAGATAAGAGTGCAGATGTTTCCTTCTATGAACCCTTTATTTTCATCTCTATCTATCCGCCGGATATTTTTCTATGGCAAAACACAGAAGGACTTGTCTTTTGAGGGATTCATGTGACGCTAGTTAAATATTACTACCGGATTGAACCTTTTTTTTTCATGCGAGCAAAACACGGAAGGACTTGTCTTTTGAGCAATACATGTGACGTTAGTTGAACATTACTACCGAACTGAACCGAGTCCGCCGGGGACGTTGCGCGAAATCCTGAGGGGCCTTATCAAACTAGATCAATCCCTTGTCTTTTGAGCAATTCATGTGACACTGGTTCCTATTGTCTAAATTTATTGATTTAGACGGACTGGCTAAATCAAGTTATCTAGTCGATAAAAGGTTCTCCACTCCAAGTTGATATGAGTAGAACTTTGGGTGTTGATGGAGATTACCTGGTACCTGATCTCAGTTCAGGTGAAAGAGCTGAGTTTTGGACAACATGGAAAAACGGAACAAAGAAAGAACAAATCAATGAGTAAATGGTAAAGAAATAAGGAAACACAACAATACACAAGAGAGGGAAAAGGGACAGTTCTTACACAATCCTTAAGTTCATCAAAATAATCCATATCATCCTTGTCTCCATTGACTGATTGGGCCATTGGTAGGAACTGATTTGGAATCATTCTACTGAGTTGGTAATGACATACATATGTTAAACTGTGTTTTTAGCCCAAAATCAGTCAGAGAAAAGAATCACAGGTATCTCAATTCCATATAATATTTACTGGGGCTTGGTTAAATAACTCCCAGAAATTGGAGAGTTGACTCCCAGGCCCCGGAATCCCCAAAATTTGGGAGTTGAACCCCCCAAACCTTTGACTGGTTTGGGAGTCAACTCCCTAAAAATTATATCTAAAAAAATAAAACCCCTGGTCAGTTTGGGAGTTGATCCTCCAAAACCAACCAGGGTTTGGGGGTTGATGAGCCAAAAGACCCCCACGGAAGTGCTGGGAGGATGAATCCCGGCCGCTGAGAGTACTAGAGATGGCCTCAGGGTATCTGTTACAGATACCCGTTATCCACTGGAGGATACCCACCAGGCCCAACGGATACCCGCCAGAGGATTCAGATTTGGGTGTGGATGCCCCAATCTCCTCAGAATCCTGGCGGGTATCCGGGTATCTCCAGGGATACCCGTCAGAGGGACCCGGCCTTGAGACCTTGTACAGTCTCAAGGCCAAGAGGGGTTCCTCTTGGCCTGGAGAATGTACTTTCTTGAGGCCGCAAGGCACAACCTTGTCAACCTGAAGGTTTTCCTACAAGATAATGAATTATGTAGCATATGTATATCTGGTTGTAATATCATGAAAAGTACTATTTATGGCTATTTTGTACTATATATGTCCTTGATTGGTCTCACTACACCATCAAGAGTGTACCTCTTGGCTGTCAAGAGAGTACCCCTTGGCTGTCAAGAGTGTACACCTTGCTGGCCAAGGTGGTTTTCCTTGGCCATTGAGATTGTACACCTTGCCGGCCAAGGTGGTTTTCCTTGGCCATTGAGAGTGTATACCCTCAACAGCTGAGAGTAATCCTTGCGGCCACTTCAGTGGGGATCTTCAAACCCTGGTTGGTTTTGGAGGACTGAATCTCAAACCAACATGGGGTTTTATTTTTTTAAATATTTTTTAGGGAGTCAACTCTCACCATTCAAATGTTTTGGGGGTTTGACTCCCAAATTTTGGGGAATCCGGGGGCTTTTTGGGGGACATTTAACCAAGCTCCTTTTGAGATTTTATTTTGTGCTGCAACAAAGTTTTTTCAACCCTGTCATCATTTTACCTGACCCCCTTCACTACAAAAAGTGTTGGATCACATTGTGAAAATGTGTGGTAACATTGCATCCTTGAATTTCAAACACACTGGGGTGAGCTGAGCTCAAGCTAAACTAGCTTTTGGCTCTGATTTCAGCTAACCATTGCTAGATCTAGCAACAGTTAGCTCACAAGCTAGCTAAAAGGACACACCCATGGTTGTGCTTCAATTTGGTGCCCTCATGCAAATATTACACACCTCAACTCCAAACCATTCATCACAACTTAACCTCAAGCCACACCAATGTAACTGAATCATTGTGGCTGTTCTAGCTTAGTGCTAGCTACAAGCTTAAATCACTCAATTTTAGCTCAACCAGTAAAGATACTCTCATAATATAACTTTCCCTCATTTGGGAGTTAGTACAAGCTCTTGCTGAGGTCTGTTTTTGTAGAATCTCACACAAAATCCACAGAAGAGTTCAGCATTCAACATCAAAAGCCTGGTTGATTGGATTGTCTTGGTAATTGTATGCTTTTTATTGTAAAATAAATTCAAACATGGGATCTCTGCTTCTGCAGAGATGTATGACTCTGCATCTGTCTTGTAACTAACTCACTCGTGGAAGTTAGTTCTCAGCAAGTCTGCCCAGGAGTTGATGTCAGGTCTCTGATCTCACACTGCTCCTGAAGGAATGCAGGCTTAGGGTGGTCAAGAACTGCAGGATGCCATGGTTGAAGGCTAACTGGACATCCAAGCAGTCAGTACACACCATTCCTTCTTCCCAGCCCTAATATCAATCAATGAGATACCGAGAGAGATTCAGAAAAGATTCAATTGTATTAGGTAGAAACATCATCAGTTCAAGTTTGGTAGGGTTGTACTGCATCAATGTTAACCCCACTGTATAACTTGCTTGAGGTATGTTTCTTCAACTGGGTTCTGGGGCGATATCAATCGATATTTAAACAGAAGATTTTATTTCGCTCATAGGACGGGTTCAGGGGTAGGGGAATGAAAAATGATGATTTATTGTTTATTTTTCATTTGTGACGCGGGGCCCTCCTGAGTAAACTTATATTGCCTCGGGGGTTCTTTCGATGTATGAGATAGCTGTTGAAAAAGCAGGAAAGGGGTCTCGTCAGCTCATGCGGTATGGAGAAAAAGCTTAGGTGAGCGGGCTTACCTTCGCTAACCGTAGTGATTTGATCGGCTTCCTCGTCCGGTATTTCAATCGAGAACTCCTATAGTCTCCGATCACGTTCAGTTGGGAGCAGCGGAATGGTAGAAGAACTTGGCACCTGATCAAATCTTACCTCCTCAATCGCCATGACAACTTCGACGGCATCTAAAGAGTCCAGACCCAGGTCGGTGGTGAATGAGGCCGTAGGGGTAATCTATTGAAGAGGAGAACATGTTTTGAGTACTCAGAACATGTTTAGCAGCCACGACATCATCACAAACCTTGGCGGGGTCACATTTTTCAAAGCTGCCCAACACTTCGAGGATTCTACGTTGAATGTCATCCTTGCTCAATGAACCCCCACTTGCGAATCGAATCGACTGGAGGTTGATCGTAGGACGGTTGAGTGCAGGGGAGAATTGAGGGATGGTACTCCGAGAACCACTGCTCAAAGGTTGAAATGACACCCTCGTGGAGTAAGCCGCCAACTTCGGGACAGTGTTGATTTTGGAAAGGGCGGGTCTGGCAATTGACCGGGATCGGAGAGCGTATCGGGTTAGAGCCATGCTTGTGGAGTGATCGATCAGGGGTGCCGGTTAAATGTTTCGTGGTTCCGTCAGGCCTCGGAAGGGAGATGATGTTCTTGTGTCTTGAGTTGCTGTCACCAGTTCGGGGGGTCGGGTGGATCGGGCAGGGCCAATCACGTGCGGCATGATTGATTTTGCATATATTGCGCAGCAGCTGATGCACACAAGCTGCGCCCCAGCGCGCACTCATCGCCTCAAGTCAACGGGTCCCCGACTCCGCCACTGTCGATCCCTATCCAACACAATCAATCGTCAATCAATGATGATCTCCAACCCAAAGACCTCCAGTCCATCAGTCATCCCTGGCCAGGAGCTAATCACCTCGGATGAGTCTCAACCATCAGCAACCTATCAATGCGGCCCTGGCACATTCGAAAGACAGGGGAAAGTTTACGCCTCCGTTGTGGGTCAACCCGTAAGGAATGCAGGCGTGAGTCGATAGTTCAAGTGGTGGTCGATGTCACTTTTCTCAAAATCAAGTTGCTGATCAGCTCGTCAATGTTCCAAGACGATTTCAGTTGAGTGTTCTTCACGATGCGCGAAGGTACCCGTGGTGGGAACCATCGTTATTGGGATGATTACCAAGGTGACGAAACCGCAAGCACATGTGTCAATCATAATGGTTGATGACCTTCCTTTGCCTGTCGGTCAAGAGCTTCAAGGCGCAATTCGATCTCAGGATGTGAGACAAGTGGATAAAGATAAAGTAATAATTTGGGATTGTTACAGACCTGGAGATATCGTTCGAGCTGAAGTGGTGAAGAGCTTTGTGTTGATACTCTGAAGATTGGTATTGATGCTGACCGTTTCACTCTTGATTAGATTTCACTGCCTACTAGTGCAATGGGGTATCTGTTGGCGACATTTCGGAATCATCTTGGCGTCGTTTTCGCACAGCATTCTCAAACCGGGAACCGTATGACAGCAATCAGTTGGAAGGAAATGAAGGATGCCGAAACAGGTCAAAAAGAAGCCCGAAAAGTAGCTGGACCTAACTGAGCAGATCAGAGAAGATGGTTTCATGTCGCTGTTGTTCCGTGATCATAATAGTACTACCCGACACACCTTATTCACTCAGCCTCCATCGAATCAGCAATGCCTTTTTTGCTTCATTTGCCGGCAAAGAGACAGCCAGTCCAAACTCAACACACACCCAACCAACTTGAGCCTGAATCCTGTATTAGTATATCTAGGCTTGGCTTTGTACATTAAGTCTGATATTTGCCACTTCTCTTAGCTGACGAGTGTAGAGATTTTTCTGGGTTCAAATCCTCAGTAGGTCAAATTCTGCACTAATCAATGAATGGTTCTTGTTAATTTTGAAATTGCATCTATCT